GTGGCCCCCGGGGACAGCTTGCCAGTTGAATCTGGTAGCGCCTTAGATGAATGCATAAATGAAAGGATAAAAACATGGTTTATCACCTCATTAGGATGTAAAGCTGTTAGCATGTGGAAATCAGTTTGTATATCCACTAGCTCTACTTCGGGAGCGCTGCTTCCTTGCTAAGTTATTCAGTCACCTTTGTGCTTCTTCTCTGTCTTGCTTTACTTCTTTCAGATTTTTTTTCTATACGTGAAAAAAATTGATAGTAAAGAACTCTCAACAGGTAAAGGCATAAGAATGTCCAGTGGGTGGAAGCTAAAACTGGAAATAAGGCACATTTTATGAAGTGAGGATAATTAACCATTGGAACAGCTTACCCAAGGGTGTGGGGGAGTTATCATCTTGAAGTTCTTAGTCCAAATCGAAGTTGGTGTAACCTGTCATTGTGCTGCTGACTGCAGTAGAACTGTGATGGTTTATACCAGTTGAGGATCTAGCTCTTGATGCCTTACCAAATTCTGGCTTTTGGTCAATCAGAAATGTCTCCCTTTAAAGTTTATCTTAGTAGCAAAACATAGGGATTTTGGTCAGACTAGAGGCTATATAGAGAGAAAGAGAGAGAGAGAGACAGACCACTATAATCCTCTAGTCTGACCAAAATCCCTATGTTTTGCTACTAAGGTAAACTTTAAAGGGTGAGATAGATAGATGTATATAGATATATATAGCTATTAGGAGAGACTTTAAAGGGTGATGCTTTATTTTGATGCTAAGCCCCTCTTGATAGAGTGCTTACAAACCTAACCTGACATCCTCTAAGAGAAGGCAGCAGCCATCAGTGTCTTAACTAGATGTCATCTCCCACTTTAATTGTTTCTCTTAACTTGTTTTACAAGGCCTTTGTTTTATTCTTTTTGAATGTGCATGTTGTAGATTTTGCCCTTCCCTGGAGCATCCCAGGGTATGTAAAGCTGTAACAACTGTTTTTTAAGAAACAAACATGGTGAATAAATCTGTGATAATGCATCGCAGCCAATTATTTTGTTGTAATTCAAATAGTTTTGATATATTTGAATGAGGGTGGCTGTAACTTGAACAACTTCAGGACTGACTGTTGGTATATAACATGTACATTTTACACTACAGATAATTAGAATCTATACACTAAGTCCAAACAAACGCATTGCATCTGAAATATAGTATTTGGCCAATTGTGAGGCGTTTAAGAAAGGATTTGTGAGTTGCAGTGCAGCTGTTATGTAAGGGTGTAAGTGAGGCTGACTAAGGTAAAAAGATGCCTCTGATGCACAGGTCTAAGGTGTGCATTTATGCTAAAAAATGGAATGAAAATCACAGGGATTTTGTAAAAATATCTTTAATGTGTAAAATACATGCTGGAGTATTTCAAAAGGTCTTGTTTAGAGTGGTATGAGTCAAGTAGATGATTCACATATGCATGAGACATTTGATCGTTTTGTTTCATGGAACTCATGCAACTATAAAAACATTTGATGTTCATTTTTAGGGGGAGGGTTGGGTTATGAGTGAATTTTGGCTTTAACCGTTGCATAGTGATTAAGCCTTTTGCTGCTCTTGTCATCTTTCTTAGCTCAATCTCAAACAAACAAGAATAAAATTTGCTCACTTTAAAAAAAAAAAAAAAAAAAAAATTGGTTAAAAAAACGG